AGCAGCCCGCCATCGTCCCCTGAGCAGGAAGGCGCAGCCCGGGGAATGTGCGGTCCCAGGAGACTCCAGACTGCGGTGGCAGCGGGACCTGTGCTTGCGCAGGGCTTCTGGGGTGCTTGGCCAGGGCTGGCCGTCCTGGGCGCTGGGTCCTGGGGGCATGAACAGCACCGTTGTCCTCTGCGTGGCTTGAAAACCAGATATCCGCAGGAGCGAGCCAGAAGTCCCTTGGTAAGATGCCTCTCTGGCAGCCGGGCTGCAAACTCGTCTGAAAAGGGAACAGCCGGCTGCTTGCCGACCCCGTGTTAGTATTCTGTGGAAGGCTCGGTCTGAACCCGGCCGAGCCTGTGGAAGAGAGGAAGATCAGAGCAAAGATCCCAGGGGAAGAGGTTGTCTCTTCAGTTGACCTACACCCAGGCAAAGCTGTCTTCGCAGGTCAGGGGCCGACTCGGCACCTCATCCAGTCGCTGTCTGCTGCCTGGACAGGTTTGATTTCCTGCTGGTGAAGGTGGGAGAGCAGCCACGGATGGTCTGTGGAAGAGCTTCTCCTGGCCCCCAGCCACGTCTGGCAGGGCTGTCAGGAGTCCTCTCGCGCGGTGAAGTGGGGTGATGCCCGCGTTGTCTGCGTGTCCTTGCAGCCCATCAGCCAAGGCTTGCTTAGCTCGATGGCGGCTGGTGGTGGTGGAGGCTGCTGGAGGCTCCTTCCCTGGAGGGGAATGTTCCTCCTGATCCTGCCGTCCTCCCAGGACAGTGGTGACCCACAGGCCGGGCAAAATCCTCCCGTGTGGCTGACAGCTGAGCTTGGCAGCTGCAGTCCAGGGCAGTCCCTGACCTGTCCACAGCTCAGTTTTGAGATGGGAGAACGAGCAGCATCCGCATCCCGACCGAACCCACCTGTGACACGCGCTGTGTCTGGCAGAGCCATGCTCTCACGGGGCCGTGCTGTGCCGGAGGGCTCGTGCTGCCCGGCTCCGGCGGGGTGTGCGTGACGGGAAGCCAACCCTCAGCCCTAGGAACGCGCTACGTGAAGCCAGCAGTGCAGCAGTTTTTCCTCCACGGCCACAACCAGCACTGGGACTTGAGCTGTGCTCGGCAGCAGAGCGTGAGTCACCTCTGCTCCCCTGGTTACTGGTTAACAGGCAAGGCTCTCCCACTCCAGGGGAAGCGACATCGCTCAAGCCCTTCCCTCGGTGCGGCTGAAAAGGGAGAAGAAGAGAAACTCTGGCTGCTCTGCCTTGCCAGTCTGCTGTAAAGTTCCAGCTCTGCTAGGTTCAGCTGTCAGTGATGATAGTGACCAATTGTAAATAGATTGTAAATTACAAGAGCAATAAATTAATACTGGCCTGTAAATACAGCACTTTTAGTAAACCCTTGTCTCTGGTGGAAATCCCTGCGGTGGGGGGGGAGGCGGAGAGTCCTTGCCCTTCTCCCGGGGTGGGACGGGGCTGTGCGTGTCCCCGCGGGGCTGGCCCAGGCTCCTTCTGCCAGGGCCACAGAAGTCCGCGGG